CCCCCCCCCGGTTCCTTTTAGACAAATTACTACACCAGCTGCATGATCAGTTTTCTGGTTGTGTGATGTTACCAGGTGTTGAAATTTAGGAGAATCTCTAGAAGGAGAATAATTTCTTTCCAAGTTTGATGGTTTTGAGTAAAATTCATCTCTAGCCTGTCCCTTAATTAAGAAAATAGGTTTTTGAAAACAAGCTGCAAGCTGAGTTCCCCTCAACTTTGCAGGTACTGGTTTTGTCCACAGGGACCCAACTTACTTCAGCTCTGTGCATATAAGTGTTTTTAAGTGGTCTGAATCCTGGTTTTGACAGACGTCTGTCTGTTAATCTCTTACAGCTTCCTGCATTGGAGATTTGGGAGGATCTGATACCTCTGCTACTGAAGGACTCTATTCTTCTAGTTCCCCAGACTCTTCTTAGTGAACCCATGGGAAGAGAACTGGTTCAGAACAATTGTTCTGGCTGTATCTACTCTGGGCAATAATAACGTACAGAGCTTCTAGGATACAGAATATGGTTCTGCCCCAGAGGAATACTTAGCTAGTGATTTGTTTTCAGGATTTGACTTGTCACAATTTTTGAGAGTAATTGACTAGTTATCTGAGTTTGTTCTGGTACCAGTATATGCATGTAAAGCATCTATGCTAGAAACTGATAGAAGTCTAAAAGAATGTTAGTGCTTTTGATTTTGTGTTCTTGAGTTGTACAAAGTGCTGTAGACAAGAGAGAAAAATGCTTTCCCCCAGGGCACAGCTGGGTGTCTCTTACCCTAACATGAGTTGGAGATTAAAACCTCAGTAATTAGAAGAAAGATTAGTTGGAGCCAGGAATTGCAATCTGGATGCCTGAACTTTTGATTCTGAGGCTTACTTTGATGAAAGATTTACCTTTTTGAAACTACTTCCTTTACAATCATCCTCGTATCAAGGGACGGCTAACAGCAAGGTATACTTCCTGTCCTAAAATACAGATAGTCATAGAAGGCGACAGACTGCCAATACATGTCATATTTTTCTTTAGTCATTATTTAGATGGTAGTGATTGAAATAAATTGGATTTATGTGAGATTGAGGCCAGTGAGTAAAAATGTAAGAGCATGTTTCTGTATTCCATTAAAGTCCTTCTTATGTAAGAAGGATGCATCGTTGGATTTGGGGTTCTTTTTGATCTTTTTGCTTCTTCATAGGTCAGTAATGTAAGTGAGAGTAGTAAGATTCGAGAGGAGTCGCTTCCTTTATAGATGCATCTTGTCTTGCTATTGTTATCTTGTGGCTCCACAGTGATGGGGAGATTGAACTAGCTCAGGAGAGAAAGAGAGCACTACCCAGGTTATGTGGCTGGTAACTTTGTTCTGAGCCGGGAGCCAAGGTGGGAGCAAACATTTTAAAGAAACAGTACTACACGTAATGGCTAACAAAGAATATACCATTATCATGACTATGGCAATGAAAACCTACTTTTCAGGGGGGAATTGAGAATAGAGCTTAAGTGAAAACTTCAGTGGAAGGTTTCCACGCTAATGCTAATTTGTACAGCTTGCTGAATAAGGGAGAGGATATTTTGTGGTACTATAACTGCTGTGGTAGGTGGGAATGCTGCTGTTCCACAGTTATCAGAAACTTTTAAAACTGAAGCTTTTGTTGCAGCTTATGGACCATTGCTTCTTCCCACACTGTCAAGAAACAGTCATCACCCCAGTTTAGGAGAACAAAAAGAGATGCGTAGTAGCTGAAAAGAATTCTTGGCTAGGGAAGGGGAAAAAGCTAGTAGCTGGCTTAATATGCTATCCAGTGGAGTGGGAAGGAACATAAGGAACCCAGCAAATCTGAGCTAGATGTATTCTCTCTCTTTCCCCCATGAGTATCTCCCAGCAACTCTCTCATCATCACTCTTCTGTCTAAAATGAGGTGGGGGGCAGGGAACTCATCTTCACAAGCACATCTATGGAAGGAGAGGGGAAAAGAACATTAAGCAAAGAGGGATAAGTGCTGCTCTTGCTTGAAGTCCCTGCATTAATTGTTAGGATGTTGGGAAAAGTTTGGAAACAGTATAAGGCAGCTAACTTGAAATGAGTGAGTTCTGTGACTTGAGATTGGGGACTGCAAGAATTGGAGGCATTCTGGGCAAAGATTGCTTGTCCAAATATTACAGGGAGAACAAAATATAGAAAACCTCTGCTTTTCTTGCATGATACACTAGAGATTTTTAGTGTGAACCATGCCTGTGGAGGCTTTCTGTAAACCTGTTCTGCAGCCTGTTGCATGTTGCCCATAGGAGCTGGGCAGTGCAGCCCTGCACTCAGCAGTAAATCTGGGGGGATGAGGGACAAGGGAATGGTTCCACCCCTCCCTCCCAGGGATTTTTGTAACAGTACATCCATGCTTCTATTAGCATATCTGGGGGAGAGGTGATCAGAGCACCAAGCATAGCTCCCAGGGAGCCTGCATCAAAGGGCTGCTGCCTTGGGGGCTGGTGCTACTGCAGCAGCTGCCTTCAGAGAGCACAGCCAGGTAAGACTTCTCTTCTTCCCAATCCCCACCATCCCTTTCACACTTCCCCAGGCACTGAATGAGCTTAATCTGTAACACGTGGCATAACTAGCTTGATTCACACAGTGAAAATAGATTTTACATATTTCATCTTTATTTAAAAAAAAACCCACAAAAAACCCTCATACTTTTTTGGTATGACAAGTTCAAACACAGTACTATATTTCATTCATATTTGTCACCCATTTCCATAGCTTCACATAGTGGCTTCTTTGTTGGTTAAGAGAGGTGTGTCAAATTTTATTTTTACATTATAGTGTGTGTTTAAATTGAAATTTTTGCGTCCTTCTTTTATTTCTTTTTCTTTTTTTAAAGAACTGAGAGAAGATGGTTTCCAGCCCCAAAACTACTTAGTTCAAGGCGTGAAGGCTTTACTTACTGCTTTAAAGTTATGGATGAAAAAAGAAGTAAGTGTAAGTGGTTTTGTTTATCTCTTTGATCTTACATTTTCACGGGGTTCTAAAAAGGCAAGAATGTGCTTTTAGAACTTCGTTGCTGTTTTATGGAACTTGCTTCTGTTAATAAACACTGGAAGACCATCTAGTAATGATGGATGGATGGATGGTTTAGGGGAGAACTGTTTGAGGTGGTTTTATGTTGCATGCCCTTAAAACCATGCCAGACCAGTGACAAACTTGTTATATTTAGCTTCTGGCAATGCACTAGTGAGCACATTAAGTATCACTTCATTGCAGGAGAAGATCATGGTTAGATAAAAATCCTAACATGGAATATATGGTTCTGATCAGATGTTCATTTGTAATACTACTTTTTTTTGGAAATTTTGTAGCACCAACCAAGTTGATATAGGTAAATTCATAGTGGGAGATGTCCCTGGCTGTCCAGTGAGCCTTGGCACTGTGATTCACTTTTCTTATCAACTCACAGGAAGTTGGTTAGGGATGAGGGGGTGGGTAGGGAGGGCAGGCTCTAATGCTGGTTTCATTTTAGGAGGTGGGGACTACAGAGACTCTCCTTTATCTTAGACATGGAATTTATGAATTATAGTAGCCAAGCACATGCAGATTTCCCAACTATACTACTACCCTACAAGATTTGGACATTGCCTCTACTTTGGGAGAGGCACAGAGTAGTCTCCCCTTCACTCCTGCCATGGCATTTCCTACTTGCAGAGCACTGACTTTAGAAGGACTTGGGACACAAGCGCAGTCACCTATGAGTTTCTGGTTGGCGACCTTGTTTTCTATACTACCTTGGGTTTTTATAGGGTAGTAGCTATTACTTTTATCTTACAAAAACATCCCTAGTTCTAAACTGGGCAGAATCAGCCCCCTGCTTGGTGTGTTTCCTTCAGCCTCGCTTGATGATAATGCCAGAGATGCTGACACAACAGAACCAGATATTTTTGGCATGGCAGGAGGCTCTGGAAGGTAGATTCCTGCCCTTTTTTGCAGGAAGGACTTTATTGTGTTCGCAAAGGCTGGTGCTGTGTGGTGATCTGGGAGCTGGCTCTGCCTGTGTGGGGCAGTAGAGTTTGGGGTGCCAGACAGACTCTTTGGAGCTGGGGGGTGGAGGGGAAGTGAGGAGCACAGCTGCCTGGGATGCTGGAGGACTGAGGCATGCCTATGGCTTCCCATAACTAGACAGGCAGTACATGCGGTGCTGGAAATAGTTGTACTGCTGTGAAGTTGCTGTTACAAAGAGCAAACATTTCTTTGCAGAGCTGCCATATTTTTTTCCTGTACTTGAATGCCTGTACACTTGCTTCTTGGTGCTAAAAAGGGCATATCGTTTTGTTTGCCTCATTGGTATCTGGTGTACTATAACTCTTGCTTTAGTCTGTTACACTTGTTTACAGAAATGGCTTATCTACATGCTCTTTACTAAACCATTTAGACATGAAGGCAGTAGTAAGGAGGACTAATGTGTAACGTCAGAGAATAGGGACCTTTCCTCCTTGCGGGGGATAAAGTGATAGCACTTCCCTGCCCCCCAGGGCAAAGGTATCTAACTCACCTGACCCTGAGGGGTGCAGGGCTTGTACATGGATTGGATTGAGCCCTCAGGGCTGGATGAGTGTGATACCTTGCCCATTAAGGTGACCCTTAATCATCCTTAAGATGAGTGTGATACCTTGAACATATAACATCATTATGTCCTCTCACATTTTTTAAAAATCATAAGGTCTCGTGTGGCACTCTACAAGCTGTAAAACAGCTTTCCTGGCTCATCCAGAAATGTAAATATGCAAGGCAGCTGCCTAGTGATCAGTTTATGCCTTTATTCAGCATTACTCTTGAATGCTGAGTCTGAGCTGGGTCTGATTTCCTTGGAATCCATTTGTTTTTAGGTTTGTTACTACTAATTACATTCCCCAAAATGGGGTTCCATACTGACTGGACTTAAGGGAAAGAGGTTGTTTACAGTACTAGTTGTTGTAGTTATTTAAGTAGATTATCAGTATAGCTTCAAATCCATTGGGAAAATAAAAGTACCAATATTAGTGTCCTTTTGCAAGCAAACACCCTAAGCATTGAGGCAAAGATCATCCAACATCATCAACTTTGCTGGTTTGGCCATGTCATCCAGATGTCCAACTCCAGAAGCAAGTTTTTATTCTCCCAGTTCAGTCAAGGTGTACACTGAAGAGGAGGGCAGAGAAAGCACTTCAAGGATGTCCTGAAAGCCAACTTGGAAGAATGCGCCATTGACATCAACGTGTAGGAAACTGTTGCCCAGGATCACTCCAAATGGAGGAAGAGTCTGCTGCAGGATCTCAGTACTTTGAAACCTTACACCAACAAAAGGAGGTGGAAACATGGAAGCAGCAGAAAGTGTCATGGACTGAATTGAGAATCTGGACCCACCCACCCTGCACAGAAACGCATGCCTCAGTTGCAGCAGAGTCTGATCCCAAGTTAGCCTCATCGGCCATCTTTGGACTCACAGATAAAGACAATCATGGAAAAGAGTCATCCTTGACTGAGAGGGATTGTTAAAGAAGAAGAGTATAGCTTTGTATTCACACTTCAGATTCCTTGATTTTAAAATGCTGGGGGATAGATGATGGTTTCACTTTCCTTGAATACTTTGGGACCAAACATTCAGTGTTGTTGTTAGGCCACACTCTTTTTGCTTTCTAGAGCTCTGACAGCTCCAGGGTGTGTATATATAATCACACTGTCAATTTCTTCTAACTATTTAAGGACTTTTAATTAAGATATTTTCTTTGGATCCGGACTTTTTGTAGTTTCCTCTGCTTTATGCTACCTTTGAGTTGATCTTAATTTCTTATGTTATCTTTTTTTTCACCCTTTGAATATAGCTTGTAACAGAACATGCCTTTGAAATTCCAGACAACATTAGGCCTGGGCATCTCATAAAAGAGCTTTCTAAAGTGATTCGTTCTGTAGAGGTAAGAATAAAAGACTTTGCTTAACAACACAGCAAAATCCAGTCATCTTGTATTGTATTGATATTTCTCTTTATTGTAGGAGATACAAATATAAAACCGCCACGTTTACCAAAATGTTTCTTAAACAACCACTGTGAGCCAAAAGAATGTCCTGGTAATTGTAGTTAGAATAATTGAATTCGAGGGTATCACTTCCCAGTTTTTTTTTTCCTGCTAATTTTTGGAGGAAAGCCAGTAAGAATTTTTTTTGATGCATCGAACTACCAATATTTTGAATTAAAATGATAGTAATGTGATAATTATTTGTGTTCATTTTTCCTCATAATTAATATAATTTGGAGAATAAGCTAAAGTCAAAATTTATGGTTTATACCTGAGAATCTCTATATTTTCTGAGGTTTTGTTTTTATTGTTAATGATTTGTCTGGTTCCCTTCTTGCCTATTCTTTTGTCTAAGTTTTTTTTTTTGTCCAGTGCACCACCATTTTTCTGATTTATTTTATCACATGCTTTTTCTTTTTGTTACTGGATTGTGTTCCTTTTTACTACTACATCCCTCATGATTTAAGATTTCTAGTCGCTTTGAAATATGCAGAGTTTTAGGGATAGAATAATACTGGGAACTGAGGAAAATTGAAGTTACTCTGTGTTATACAGTGGCTGTGCCCAGAATTTCTAGGCCATAGTCATGCATAGTGATAGTGGCTATTGTTAAACATTAATGTTATAGGAGCACCTAAAGGTTCCAATCAGAAGAGGAGTCACTAGGAACAAAACAGAGAAGAATATACACAGTACTTCTTTAAAGAACTTAGTTTTGTTTTGTCTCCTACAATTTTTAATTTTAGTGGGTAAGATGAGAATCTTTATTAAATATGTGGACTTGTCACTATAAGACCACTCTGATGCATTTATTTTCTATTTAAAGGAGGAAAACAGCAAGCCAGTTAAAACTCAGGGAATTCTTGGTTTGTGCCCAGCTTCGCGATCGTCACATGAAGCAACCTCCCCTCATCATTCCAGACGAAAGGTGAGAAAACTGCGAGACCATGCTACCAAAACTCCTTCTAATCTGGACATCCTGGAGCTGCATACAAGGGAAGTACTCAAAAGGCTGGAGATGTCCCCATGGGAGGAGGTAAGTATTACATTTCATGGAAGAAATAAACAAAAACCCAGAAAGTTAGAAATTTCAAGCTGTATTAGGAAGGTGAATAAAACTAGGATGTGTAAAATAGGATAAGCATGTTATAATGGCACTGAATAATGAGTGAGTGGTACATGTTGCCCTAAAATATTTTTCCCTTACCTGGTATCATATGAGAAAATAGGATCTTTTTGTTATCTTCTATTTTTATACTGAATGGGCTTTCTGAAAGTGTTGGGACTATTTAGTTCAGATTTCTTAAGAAGAAATATATGGAAACATTATGTAAAATAGTTAATTAGTTCCTCCCATTACTACTTATAATATAGCAGCAAGAAGTATACTATAGGAGCAAGAAGCATTCAGCTGAACACAGTAAAGCATCACTGTTTACATATGCACCTAGTATGAGGGTGCAGTAAATGAAGTAACTCTGCCATATCTTACAGCGGAGTAAGTAACTGCACTGAAATCCATGTGTAGATGGTGACGGGCTGGCTGGGGCATGAGGGTGCTGAAGTGTGAGAGCTGCCTATTGCCAGCCACGCAGCTCTGCATTTCGGCACCCTTGTGCGCCAGCCAGCCTCTCCACCACCTGGAGCTTGGGACTAACACCCTGGTACCACCTGCCAGCCCAGGGCTGGTCTGTCCTGGCTCAAATTGCTGCTGTCTTGGGCGCACATGCCAATGCTGCACCTGGGAGTAGTTTATTTTGGCTCAAACAGGTCTGGAGTTTATTGCTTCACCTTTTAATTGCAGTTGTAGATGCACCCAGAGATGAGTAACCTGTGAAGCTTTTTTATGATGTAATTGAAGCAAAAATACATTTCTAAAAGTATTTTCCTTTTATTTCGTTAATAAGAAATATGTTTTATTAGATAGGGCAGGGCTGTTGAACCACCACTCGCGCGGATCACTCGGTCACACAGGCAGGGCTGTTGGCATGCAATGGTAGAGGCAGCTGGTAGGGCACACAGGCCATGTGTTGGCCCTTTGCATGATGCAGACCATGCACTACCAGTTTGACAGCCTTGAGGTAAGGGAAAATAGCATTTTTAAGGAGTGTAAACACTTCTGTTTCAGAAGAATGTTCCACATATACCATAATGCCAAATACCTGTTAGGATTTCACCTTCCTCTGAAGCATTTTCAAATTGCTACTCTGAGAGCAGGTTTCTGGGTAACATTTAAGAGGCTTTATACCAGTTGCAGTGGGCAACTCAGTTTTTTTGGTTTGCATCAATTTGTTGCTATTCCTATGTGTCGGGAACAGTGATAACTTCTAGTGGAAATTGTTTTATCATACTGGTCTAGAAAGATTTTTTTTTTTTTTAAATAGAGGGTAGTTTACAATAAGGAGGTACCCCAAAGGTTGATGGAATGAATTGCATTAAGAATGGATTCCTTGTATCCATACTTGTCCTAATCAAGTCACTTCAGTCATTGATAACTATTTTGACGTTTTTTTCTGCTATGTATCAGAGGTTCAATGTGAACTTGGAGACTGCGGACTCTTGTGGACTATTGAGGTGGGGGAAAAAATATTTAAACTTCCTTATTTGATTGAGGGAATAATAAACAGCCCTTTTTATTCTCCAGGATACAGGAAACTCTAAACTGAACGGAAGATTTAATAAGCCCTTTCAGCCATCTTCTACAGTACCTGAATGGAGAACAAAGGACAATGATTTACGCCTTCTGCTCTCAAATGGAAGAATTATCAGGTATAAGAAGCTGTCTTGTGAATATCTAGGGTTTTGAAAAGGTGTGTGCAGGTGGTGTGGTATATAGTACAATACATTTATTTCTCCAATTTAAAAGTGAAGTACAAGCTTTACTAATATGTTAGGAGCCTAGAGACTGTTGTTCAGCTTATGATCCAAGAAAAGAACAAATATGATTGAGGGCTGACTGCTGGTTCCAAGCTGGGGCAGGCACCCGGTGCCAGGGGGTACATGTATTACCACCCCACACAGTGTAGTCACGGACACATCTGTTCCCTGCACCCCAACCTGTGGGTCCCCCAGGTACTCCTATTTAGCCCCCAGGTGGCCCTCATTGCCATTTTATGCACTGCCCCTATCATGTCAAATGCCCTGTGGCTCTATTCGGTCCCCTGCTATTCAATATATCCCCATGCTTGGCCCCATCCAATTGTGGCCCAAACCCATCAGACTCAGTCTGCCCTACTGAGTTCTGTGTTGCCCCCCACCACTGCCTCCATGAATCCACTACACCCTGCACAGACTAGTTCCATCGTGACCCACCACCACCTCCCTCATGCCCCACTGAGCCCTCCTCTGCCCCTCTGAGAAATCAAACCTCACTGTAGTCCTTCATACCTTCTGGGGCTCCTCACTCATAATCTCTCTTGCCCCCTTCACATACCAGTTCATCCCCATAGACCCTACAACCTTCCAAGCCCCATCTGCCCCTCATATCCTCACTTCCATATCACCTAGCCTCCCTCATCCCATGCTCCTCTACACTATACGCTCCCCTACTCACAAAGCCCCTGGGTGACTGTGACCTCCCCCTGCCCCACCAAATAAGCACCTCATGGCCCCCAGCATTCTCTTACCCAGACCCCCTTCCCATACGGTTCCTTATGCCCCCCTCAGTCTCTGACCATGGGGCAGATGGGGGGTGGGTCTATAACTGTACCCCACATATGCTGTTGCCTCCTGTCCTCACAGCATGACAATAGCTGGCCTCCACTGCCTTCCAGCATCATCACAGAAACAAGCATTTGGGATCAGGGGAAACTACCCAGAGAGACCATCCCCTCTTGATCCACCCATGACTGGCTTTATGCTGTCGTGTTTGTACTACTGGTTAAGCTTCCCACAGCCTCCATCTGCTGCAATGAATAACTCAGGAAAGGGACGCTGCAGAAACGTACCCAATGTCTTTGCAACTCCTGCAGACCTCTGACCACTATGCGGATGTGCAGCTCACCTGCTTTTAGCCCTGCCTCTCCTTTTCCTGTCTCTCTGATTTGTTGTTCAAATCCTCTTGTATTTTATTTTCCTGGCTCTTACAAGAAAGATTCATGCTGGGAACAGACTGGAGAAGGGGATCCATTTACTCTCCTGTACTTTGTTCTGGGAGTAGCAAAGAGGCACTTGGATGTTATGTTGGGAAAGGATAGGTATCTTGCATAGTCCTTGGGAACAGCATTACATTCAACTGATTGATTAATAAATTGTATTGGAAAGTGACCTTCAAACTGTAAAGAAATGCGCAAATTTGTTACAGAGAAGTAAACATTACAAAAAACCATAATTTTCATTTTTAAAAAGCAGGGTTAAGTTTAATATGTTCAAAGACCAGTATACAGAAGGAACATGAGGTGGTGTTTTTCTCAGAAATATGTGCTGAGACAATTGGTTCACAAATAGAAAAGCAAAATGCAAAGTCAGGTATTTTGCTACATGGCGATTTTATAGTCAGGAAAAATGCATGGTAACGGAGAAAGAAGTAGGCAAATGGTGTGAGAATTTTGTGCCCTCCGGTTCTGCTGTCTCTCTACTGTTGTGCTTCCAAAAGAATATTGCAGGTAACAAGGAAGGGAAAAAAATCATGTAAGCTTTTGTTCAATTAATAACTTCTTTAAATTTTTTTTATTTTTCTTCTGAGGTAGAGATGAAAGACAACCATTTATGGATAGGAGTCTTTACACAGCAGATAGCGAAGATGAAGATGACAGGACAAGATCAAAAAAGACAAGGACTATCAAGATAGAAGATGAGACTTCAGGCTTGGAAGGAGAAGGGAATGGAGATGCCCAGAAACCACTAAACAGTAAGCTTGCTTTTGACAGTCTAGTACTCTGGTGATCAGAGGAGTCTTACTATGCTACTGTATACCTTTCTGTAATGGAAAATTTGCCAGTGAGCTAAGTAAATGGGGGGAAAAAAAAATGGTACACCGATATATCGGATTGGTACCAATAATGTTAACTTTTTCCTTTTATCAACTATCAGCTTTTTTTGGCTGGTGTAGTTGATAATGTGTGAATAAATACAATATGCTTTCTGGCTGGGGCCCCAGATGCTGCGTACATGTGCATGGCTGTATGTGGCCAGGAATGCAGCCTGGCAGTGTACAGAGCAGCATCTTGCAGGTAAGTCTGTGGAGGGGAAGAGGTGTGGGGGAAGGAGGGGCTGCGTGGGGGGTGGAGATTGAGTCCTCCATGATGATGGAGGGAATGGGGCAAGGGCTGGGACTGGGGGTGCTGCCCAGCCAGGGTGGTGAATGGGACTCCAGGGCCAGGGTGGGGAGTGGGATGGAGTCATGGACAGCTTGTCTGGGAGTGGGTGGGGTGGGGAGGAGGGGCAGCTTCCCACACTGCGCACCTCCTGGGGGAGGCGTGGGGGCCTCTTTCCCCGGGAGCCTTGGGCCCCCTGCCCACCCAAAAGTACTGGGGCCAGTGAGTTGTGCCTCCTGCTGCTGGTTGGGCTGGGGATGTGGTGTGGCCAGTGTGTGGCTCCCAGGGCAGAGGGAGCAGGGCAGATGGCCCTGAGCCTACAGCAGGCAGCCCACATCTGCCCTCACCCTGCTCAGCTGTGCTCCTAAAAGCATGCCCACACTTAAAAAATGGTGGTGGCAGTGCTTGAACTAAAGCTCATTTGAAAAGCTTTAGTTCAAGAACTGCTGCTGCCATTTTAAGCTCTGGGACGCTGATTCCCCCTGGATGAGCTGCTCACGGCTCTTTCCCACTCCCTGCGCCAGCGTCCTGTTTACCACTTTGGCCAGGCAGCACCCCCAGGCCCAGCTCCAGCCCCTGCCCCACTCCCTCACTTACAGTGGGGGCATCGATCTGCACCCCACCATGCCCCTTCCCCTCCACACACTTACTGGCAGGGCACTGTTCTGCACACTGTCAGGCTGTGCTTTTGTAAATCGGTTACTGGATTGGTATTGGCTGATATGCCTGGTGAATAACCAGATATTGGTATCAGTGAAAAAAAATCTCTATTGGTGTACCCCTAATAAAAAAGCATGGATTAGAGAAGACTTAAGATTGTTTTCAAGATTTAAATAATGTTTGACGTGTGCATCATTCTCATTTAAACCACAGCTCTCTAGCCACAGTATAGGTTGCCAGAGGGGAAGGGTCCTTAATGCCACTTGGATCATTCCCTCTGTGCCCCAAATCACCCTGCTTCCCCCCATCAGTCCCTATATCACCCCTTCCACCCCTGGATTGCTGCCATACCACCTCAAGCAGCCTGAGAGCAGTAGTGGAGGGGTTCCCCCTTCCTACCTGCTCGTAGTCTCCCTGTAGCCTGTGCTACCTCTGCACACACAGATCCAGCCCCCACTGGGCTCCACATCTGCCTGGCAGTTCCTTGCTGTCTCCCACCCTCCGATTCTCCTGTTCAGTCACAAAGCTTGGCAGTGGCGTGAGCTGGGTACGCAAGAGTGGCATGGTCTGCAGGGACCCCACGAGCAGGCAAGGAGGAGAGAGTTTCTCACCGGTATCTCCATCACTTCTGGGCTGATCAGGGGGGTAGGGCATTAATCTGGGGTGGAGGGGGTCAATAAGTGGACAGAGAAGGCAATTGGGGTGGCAGGGGTGTGATCTGGGAGCTGAAGGGGGCAATTAGTGGGTTGGTGGGGCTAATTTGCGGAGGTAGCAGTACCCTGGCAGCTCCCGATCCACCCACTCGCCCTTTCCTTCTGTCCCCTTTGCCATGCCCCCTCCCCCTGGCTCTCCTACCCCACCTTTTATCTCTTTTCCCTCCCTCTCTCCCCACTCACCTCATCCCCACCCAGCTGTTGCACAACTATTCCCAGCTGTCAATCCAGGCCTGTAGAGTCCTGGGTAATAGCTAGTTCACCTGGGAGCAGTGCCTCTTGGGATACTGGAGGACTGTAGATTTGTGGCTTTATCTTGGGTGAATACCCAGAAGTTAACTTTTAAATAGGTGGCACAGCTCACATGTAATCCTTGCCTAAAGTGGTTTCTCTTTAAAGATGGCTAAAGGCACTTAACATTTCAGTTGTTAATGAGCCTTAATGTGTGTTCAGTTAAGTTTTAAGTTCTCTTAACATGATCTAATTATAATTTGTAACCTCACCTAGAGATTACAAGATTGGAGTATCAGGAACATATAATTCTAGAATTTTCATTAGTGAATAGGTCATTGCATTGCAAGCAAGCACATTGAGAGTGTTCAATATAAATAAAACTTTTCCCAGATTAGCTTTTTCTCTGCTTGAATAAGAGTCCCTATCCTGGATTATTAAGCAGGATGTATAAAGCACCTTGACCTTTCTTGTTGATACAGTGTTTTAATCTGAAAACTGTTCATATCAACCTAATAATGGATATAATCTCTTTTCATCTTTCTGCTACTTCATGGGGTTCCACCAGGGCTAGGGACAGACATTATACATAAATCAGTTTAAGTGATTAGAAACTGGTTTAAACCTGTAACAGAACACGATCAAGTGCACATAACCCACTTTGAAAATGGCCAAAACTGGTTTGAGATTAAACCTGGTTGAATGTACCAGACTTAACTGATCTGGCTCAAACTGGTTCATAGTTTCTAGGGTTGGAAGGGACCTGAGAAGATCATCTAGTCCGACCCCCTGCCATGGCAGGAAAGAGTACTGGGGTCAAACGACCCCAGCAAGGTGTTCATCTAACCTCTTCTTAAAAACCCCCAGGGTAGGAGCCTGCACCACCTCCCTTGGAAGTTGGTTCCAGACCCTAGCCGCCCTGACCGTGAAATAGCGCCTTCTGATGTCTAACCTAAACCTACCCTCTGCTAGCTTGTGACTGTTGTTCCTGGTCACTCCTGGCTGTGCTCGG